TGATACAACACGCTAATCCAGCTAAAAATAGTGCTTAAATGGCATCTATTGAAGTATTTAAACATGCGTAAATCATAGTATTTTACTATTTTTTGCGTAAAATGGCGAGCAAAATCACTTACCTTCGCTAAACAGAAACACTAGTCGCGCCCCTTTCTTCTGCGCATGCGCTTGTTATATTTTAGACGGCAAAACTAGAAACACTGTAGTGATATCTATGATATAAATTTACACAAATATGTGAGGAATAACTTATGGGAAAACTACAAGCTGACAGTAAGAATAAGATGTACGACACATCGAGCTAGATTTATGGAGGCAACATCACTTAAATACCTTACTTATGGCTAAAATTGTGTCTAATGTTACAGCTTCTGTCGTAAACACAGATAATTTATGTAAATATCAAACTCTATTCTATCAGTTTGTCCTTCTGTAAATTATATTTCATGTCAATTCGCAGGAACATTTCCCCACACAATATTTAATCAGCCTATTATTCTACTACTATTGTGTAAACCATACGAACAAAATCACTCACCTTCGCTAAACACAAACACAAAACTGGTCGCTCCACTCTCTTTTGCGCATGCGCTGTTTGTTCAGTACAGTACAGTAAGACGGTAAATCGGCAGTAAGACGGTAGACGGCAATCTTTAGTGTGTTGCAGACATCTATTTGATATCTGATATTATTTTAGACTAATATGTAAGAATAACCTATGGGAAAAACTGAAAGTAAGAATAAAATGTACATAAACACATCAGTAGTTTTACTGGTGTCAAACAGGCTTTAAATTACAGAATATCTAAGAGAAATCTGTCCATTTTCTTCTTGTCTTTGCTCTTTCCACTACATTTGGTTAGAAATAGCAAAACAAAGCTATAAGTTTATAGTTTAAAAAAGCACATAGTTAAAAATCTAAAGAATAGATGAAAAAAAACATTTAAATGATGGAAGAATTAGTCAATTAAATTAAAAGTAAAACTATTAAATCTTACTTTTGTTTAGATTTACTCTTTATGCAAATATTAGTTGTATTTCAGTGGCCAGATCTGTAAAGGTAGTACATCAATTTGTTTACAAGAAGATTTACACTTTTATAAATGGATCAAAGAGGATTTCTCACTCATTGTTTTCTGCATAATTAGTAATTTTATACAAAAAAAAAAAAAAAAAAATTGAATACCAAACAACAGAATTGCAAGTAAAATATGTTTATTGTTTCATACTAAAAAAACTTTATATTATACAAAATATTTGACAGTAAAATCAATGAAAGACATCATGAACATGTTTTACTGCAGTAAATCATGTACAATCAGTTCATATTCAGGTGAGATCTAGTGAACACTGTTGAAATCTGCTATCATCAATTC